GTGTGACGCAGACATTTTTTCATATGGGCGTTGTTCAAACCGATTGCTACAAATATTCAACACTTTTATCGGAGTTTCAAATGTGTTTTAAGAGGGTGAACTCAAAAGACGATTTTTTGCCACAATTGGTCAATATTTTCCGTCATTTATTAATAATTTTTTTTCAACGATCAATCTTCACAATAATGTTGATGGGTTTATCGACGTCTTGTGACATAATTTATTGCTGGCGAAGATTGACCCTAATAAAAAATTATGGTCGGGCAAACTAGGCTCATTATTTTATTTTATGCTCGTCTTTATGCATGCTTGAGGCAGATAGTGTTAAAAACAAAGTTGTTTAAAGTTTTTAATTTACCTAAGCTAAGTTTAAATCAACAGTAAACTGTGTATAATAGATTGGTTAAAAAAATATATTGTGACAATAATCTAAATATTTATTCAAATATAACTCATTGCATCGCCCGGTGTAGTGCAAACAAATTTTCAAAATTGTGGTACAATTGAACTTGACTTAAATCTATAAAAGTTTTTCGGCCATTCGTGAAAATTGTGGTGCGGTCCGAAGGAAATTTATTTTGTGTCCGTTATTGTTTTCACTAACCCTTGCCCGGAGTCGTTTAGTCTGTCCAGTTTATTTTTCTCGAATCTGATTATCAACATGTGATAAAATCTGTTTTAAGAATTTCGAAAATTTGCTAGACTTGAAAATAATGATTTGTTTTCAGTAATGAAAAATCTGTCAGTTTATGCATTCTTTTTTTTTTTAAACTTATTGAAAAATAGTAAAATTTTAAATTGTTATAGAGCATTTTTAAATAGTTAGGATAGTTGTTATATTTAATAAACACTTACTTTATTGAGATTACATTTGCTTATGTTTCTTTCTTGTTTTCAGCAAAAGTAAAAGCACTAAAGTTCAGAATAAGACTAGCTGTAATTTTTTTACAACTGTTTGGATTGCACGTCGAGTTTTGATCTACATACATAACTCATGAAAAACGCTGAAAATATGCGATTTTGATTTAAAGGTACTGTATCCGACACACGATTTTTTATTCAACAGCTTTCTTAGATCGTGATTGAGTATAATCGTTGAATGTAAATAAAATCAAATTTTAGTGTAATTTACAAAATTATTTACAGCTGAATCCGTGTTGATATACTCATAATTTACGTTAAATTAAAGCTTTTTTTGTTAATCATATTTTTTAACATTTAATCGTAAGTAATGTATCATCCGTATAAAACTCTTATCAAAAATATTTAAACCAAGCACTTATTGCAAAAGTTAAGAAACTAGGGACAAACTTTTATGATGCAATGGGCAAAGTCTCTTGCCAAGTTTCTAGACAGTATATTGAGCAACTCTTCTTGAAAATTATTGGGTTCACATTTGCCTGCAGCCAACCTTGATTACCGCAACCCAAAGCATCAGCTGTTGTGCATAACTCAGGTAAAAGTGGTAGTGAAAATGAAGCTAATGATAGTGACAGGTCGAACTTGCTTGTCCTTGACCAGCTTTAAAATAAACCTCAATAAAACTAGGTTGTCACTTGCACGCGACTGCAGAATTTTCATAAAAGCTGCATAATGTGGCTACTTTCGACAACAATCAATGAGAGCATTAATTTGTATAAAGCAAGCAAATAGTACGAAAGAGGCAACGAGGTGATAGAGGTTATCATTGCTATATAAATTTTTTATCGCGAGGGTTCCGAGGAAATATCGACGGAGGGTTGTCGGCAGGACGGCGCCGCCGAGCATTCTAACGACGCTCCATACAGAAAACTTCGTCCATTCCTTGCAGAAAAATCTGTAGATAAATAAAGCCAGCAATTATGTTTTGACGACTTTGTTTGCGCCAGGTTCTTACAAAATCTGCCACTAAAAAGTATGAATCCTTTGAATCTGGCTTTAGGTATAAAAAATTCATGGCGGAAATCCGCCTCTAATATAAATTTATTCACCAACAAGTCTGATCGACTGACCTAACAGATTTTTTTTGTAAAACTATATCAGACAAAATAAATAACAAATGAACTTATTTTTTATTAATGTACGATCATTATTCAGCAGTGACGGTTACAAAGGTCAAGATTTCTACTGCATATCGATTGTTATGAACTAAGCTTCACTAACTCGAAACATACAAACATGGGATATTTGTCTGATTGTAATCTCCAGTTTTGGGAGCAACGTGCGCTTAATTAACGATTACAAGAATATGGACAAAGCTTTGAGAATTTCTAGTCATATAAACAATGATTATAAGATAAAGTTAAACAAAGAAAAGGTAGAACTGAAGTCTAATAATTTCATTATTAAAAAGGTCTTTGCATGTTTGAGATAAATAAGAAGACATACAATTGACATAACTTGTACAGCAATTGAAAACTAATTTTTCTTTTTTATTAAAAATTTCTTAAATCATAATTACACATTCCTAATAAATTTTTGGACGACAAAACATACGGTTCTTTAAATAAAAATTGGCACATTTAGAAAAATCAAATTAAGTCAAATACCAGTATTGATCAGCAAAGAAACAAAGGAGAAAAAACAAATTTGAAATCAAGAAATTCTCTATCCACTCTCAAGTTATACTTAGTTATTTCTGCTGCTAAAGCAATGACATTTTTTGTTTCTATTGTAATTTTAAAGCCACTTTTTACTTAGACTCCAAACAATAATTTATTCATATAATATGAAAAAGTATTCAAAACTTGAATAAACAAAGATACGTCCTTGCTATACCTACTTCTTTTAATAAATAAATAATAACTGGTGTTTTTTTTAAATTTGGCGTCAGAGCTATCTATGAAAGTTCGATTGTGAACAAATCATTGTATTGACATTTGACATCTTGCCGGGCAATTCAACAAATTTTTTTGAGTGGTCAAAATAATCGATTTATTTTTTTAAATTACAGTTTTTAATAATACAAAAATATCTTTTCCTTCTATGAGATATTTTCGCATACGTTTTATGTAAATATCGTTTCAGCTTGAAACATGTCGAGGTCTGTGTACCTACTCTAGGTATTTTTATGTTATTTCTTTAGTCCCAAGAGAAATCGTTTTTTAAGTAAGTTATTTAAAATGTATAAACGTGCTGACTTCTATTAAAATATCAAGTCTCGGCTTTGCTACCACTCATTTATTCCCGTATAATTACCCTGTAATTTTTTAATTAAATTTATCTTTGTTATTAACGCCACCAAGTAAATAGAGTTTTCGTTTTTTTCAGGGAAAAAGTTAGTAAATTTCAAAGGATGCAAGATAATGTGCAGGACACGACTTTTAACAAATGTGTGCAGACATATTACGTGGAAGCAGAAATTTAGTCGCTCTGCCCGAGTTCCGTAATAACTTTTGATTAGGGGGATGTAAAATTAGTTTTGAAAGGTTTCGCTAAAAAAATAATCTATCTTCATTGCGTTTAAAGATGTGTTTTATTTCATTTCATCTTATATTTATTACCTTATCGTTATAGAAATTTGTATAATTAAAATTTACAGAGTAATCGGAAAACATTAATTAAAATTGTAATTATAATGTAACATGTTAAAAATGTAATTATAAATTCAATGTTTTAATTCGTCGTTTTAATCTTCAAAAAAATTAAATCCCTGTCCGCATTGCGTCGAATTTATTAAAAAAAATGCACAATTTTAACGACTAAGCGCCTAAGTAACGTAATATGAGAATTTCGCGTTGAAACTGTATTCCAATTCCCTATTATTATTCGATTTGACTCAAACAATACATTTTCAATCTAGCCGCTCACAATTAATTAAAACTTTTGCGAAGGAATTTGGTATGTTTCTTTTGTTAACACTGACGGCTGGCTAATCTCGCAAAAGCCTTGTAATTGAGTTGAAATCAGTGGCTTTCTGAATTATAATAAATTTGACAGAGTTTTGCCAATATCGTGAATATATGGCGTTTATTTCAGGACCGTTAGGACCATATCTGTTTATACAGCTGCACTTGCACCAAAACGACGATATATTTTCAAAATAAATAATTCATAGCGTCGCTGTTGCTTATTTGTCAAGAAACATTTTACAAAAATTCCAGAAAGAGAAAAATTGCATAAATTAAGCAACATTTCTTGGGTAGACAGATGGCGCCTCAAGTAACTAAATAATGTCAAGGACGGGTGAAGCTCGAAAAAAGCTAACGAATTAGTTGTGTTGGCAAAATGTGGTGGAAATTAGAACAGGAAATACACAAATAGTAGATTAGACTTTCTTTATTAAAAACGTTACATTGATTTTTCTTTGAGCCACTCTGCGAGTTTGATTTTGGCAAGGTTGCAAATTTTGAAACTATTAATAATTTTATAAAGTGTACTACTTGAACCGAATTAATTTTTAAAATAATTTAATTTAAAAAAGTGTTAACAGTAATTCGCCCAATAAAAAATAATCAGTTTTCGAATGTAAATTAAGTTTTGGTAAAAAAATTAGAATCAGTGCCTGCATACATTTGCATATACGTCGGTTTCATTTCCCAAATCAATAAATTGGCTTTGTGAGTGATTTGAATGGATTATGATGGACAATCTGTACGTCGGATATTTCAATCGAAGAACAATAACCCTTAAAATATGCGAAAACGATTTTATAGTGACGCAATTAAACGTAAATAAAAATCGAAACACTTGCCAAGATTTGAAAACACAACACAATATTTTCCTCGGACAATTCACAACTTATTTTTAAGGCCGATAAATAGTCGGGGAAAAGTTGTACACTAATGAAAGAATTTGGAAATGTTCTCTCTTGGGAGCAACTAAATTCTTACTAATGACATGAAAGGATTAGCGATAGTTGAATTGTAGTTTGAACGAGTTGTTTAGGAGTCTCGACAGAGGTTAAAAATATCGATTCGTTTGCAAAAACGGCGAGTTGGTCAATAAATTTTCCGAATAGTTATTGCTATATTTTCTACAGTTGGAATCATCGTTTTGAAGGATAATTATGAATAACTCACCTTTACGTGTACGTCATCTGTGAAAAAGCGGCATTGGTTCCATGTAAATTTTGAGAAGTCCGCGCTCACTACCTAACACGCGTTTTGTGTGATGTACCGGAAAAGCACTGAGGGAAAACTAGGAAACACTGGTGGAAAACCGCTCCAAGAGGTAGAGTCGTGGCGCTCGCGCTGTGGACCCGATATACACCTTGCACTCTGTTCACCAAGACACTCCCGACTGACACAACGCTTTCCGTGTTAAAATAATTTTGTGCTATTTTTGTCATATACGATGTGGACCTACAATAAAGCTATTTTCATGGAGAAACACGGCGACCACTGCTTGACGTACGGTTTATTTTCAAGCTGCTTCCAAGCGCTTACTCTGTTGTCTGGATTTTTCGGTTACTCTGAAATTTTGCAATCGCGCTGTAGACATTTTTGTTCAATGTATTTCTCGTACACAAAAATTAAAAAATGTCTTTCTAAACATATATTTCTGAAAAACATTTCATTCAAATTTTATTTCACCCAAATTTATTCTCATATATTTTTTAGATATTAACAAAAATACTAAGAACAAATGCGTACAAAATAATGTAGCTCCAATTGTGTTGAAACCAAAAAAAAAAAAATACTTTCTGTTTTAGTTGAACAAACCCTTTCAATATCTACTTTTAGGTACTTCAAAAATTGTAAATTTTTATGCTTCTTCCTGATTAATCATCTGTGAGTATACTTTTGTTTAGATAAAACTGATAATTTCTTAGAAAAATTTAAAATTATTGTATGATGTAAGAAATGGTAATAGTATATGATGTTATTATGTTATTACGAATAAAAGTGATAGTTTATGTGGAGAAGCAGAAGATTTATTTTGCCGATCGAAGTGACTGAATTCAGCTTAGCCATATAAACTCACTTTTACTCCGAATAACATATTCTATTTTATCCCCAAACGTATTCAGATCGAGAGTTTAAAGCAACTTTATAATTAGCAAGTAAATGAACAAAATAATCAGTACGCTTTGCAAATAAAGATAACAACGCTTATAAACAAACATCACGCGTCAGTATCGGAATTTGTGTTAAGAGTTTATTACTTTAACTAGTGCAGTTAGTAGTGCAAAATCAAATACTGATGATCACTGGTACCTCTCCAAAAACTGCTAAAGCACCAAAAAAGACAAGAAAGAAACATCATTGGTAAATATACTAAATGTCAATAACGTTATGGTAAAAGTAAAAAAACGCTTAGGCACAAATATAAAATTTTTACTCAATGGCTAAAAGGTAAAACTTTTCCGTGTTTTGTTGTTTTGGTCAGTAACACGTTCTTATTAAAAAATCATTCATACAGTAAGACTAACTTTTAGAGTTAAATATACTCGTATTTATTACATTTTCTTTTTATGTATTGTGTAAATACAGGGTGCCAGAACTCGGGCCCCAGAGAAAAATTTCAAGTAAGGAAACAGGAACATGGAAAAAATGTTTAGGAAATTCAATCATATAATCATCTATTTTTTGACATTTGACTTTTTTTTGTCTGTTTAATGATACTGATGATCTTGTATATGTTTTTTTACAATTATTTAGTAAAGGTACAAAAATTTTGCCAATAAAAGCTACAAATAACATTGAACAGACTTTTGTTTCCTCTTATAATAGCCTGTAGCAAAAAAAATTGGAAAATTATTTTTCCAGCAGAAATAAATAGTCAAAGTGCAAAATTTAAACTCTAATAACTTGGAAATTTTTATAGATAAATTTTTTTTAACATTTTTTTCCATGTTCCTGGTATATCACTATGGCATTTTTCTCTGGAGCGCGAGTTCTGCCGCACCCTGTATAAAGACTGTTTCAAAACAATCACTATCAGACATTAAATTTGAGTTAGTTTTAAAATAATGTCGACTAAAAATAATAAAATTACAAAAAGTCAGAAGCAAAAACTGTCTGTTTAACAAAACGTTGTTAAAAAAAAGAAAAGTTTCTTAAATGTTTTAAAATCAAAGTAGTCTTTTTCATATATCTAGTTAATTTGTTTGAATATTATAAAACTCAATTGCAAAGAGTTCTTTAAAAAAAAAATAAAAAGCAAGTGGTAGTATTTATTGTTTATTAAAAGCAGAAAATCTGCGACAAGTTTCTAATGTCGTCTCAGAAATCCTTATTATCCAAGAAAATTACAAATCCCTACTAATACTTTAAGACCTTAGGCTGCGACTGAAATCACATGTTCTCCTCATATTAGACCAACAAGGAGCAAGTCTCGGTGCGCTAAACATCAGCGCCGTTTTACTGTTTCATTAGTTCAAGCATGTGCAATAACACTAACATTTCCACACAAGAAAAAGCCAGATTATTAGTACAACTCATTTTATAGCTATTACATTTAAAATAAGCAAAATTTTAGAACAAGTAATAAAGTGCAAATATGGTGGATGCGCCGGGATTAATTTAGACACATTTTCATTTGATTATTATTGTAAACATCAATATATATATATATATTTTTTTATCACATGAAGCTCCTTATATTCAAATACAGTAAACGTTACTTTGAAAACTTAGATTTACAATAATATTCTACCTGCGTATTAAATTAAAAATATTCCATTTTCTTTGTTTAATTATTGTAAATAACAGCTCCAAAATTGTAGGTTATTTCAAATGTAAACAAAGTAGAGTTTTAATGAAATTTAAAACAAACATCCAATTGCCGGAATAGTAGGTAGTATAAAACTTAGATCGCATTAAATGCAGTTAAAATAATCCAATTTCATTACCGACGCCTTGATCTCAAAATAACCGTGTATTGATTTTTCACATACGTTTATTAAATATTTATTTATCATTAATATTTCAAAAGGTTTTAATAACCAAAACCTTGAGATTTAGTAAAACTACACAAAGGCAACCCCTGCAACCAATAATACAGTTTTCTGAGAATAAAAATACAATTTTTTCCAATCATTTATTTCATAATTGTTACAGAAAATTTCAAAATTATATCAAATAATGTTTCTCGTTGATGTATTCCGTAGTCACAGGACTATTAATGATACTCAAATGATCCCCATTAACCAAAGTAATTTGAGGCGTTTGTTTGCAGTACTGTAATAAAAAAATAACAAAACCGTTCTCTCAAGCGAATTCAAAACTTACCGAAACTAATCCGCAATTATCATATTTACTCGTCCCAGTCGGTCTAATTAGATGAATTTGTCCCGAAACTAATTCCTCAGATGGACTGAAGGACAACAAATTTTGCAAATGGGTTTTTAAGGTGAACAATCCTTGCCCTAAGGCCTTTTTGTCAGACAAATGGCCTTCAAAGTAGTCTAAAGCCAATTTGATGCGAGAATCCCAACTAGGTGCCTCTTCGATCTTTTTAACAACCTTTAAAACGAAATTAATGACTCAGTCAAAGCTATTTAAAACAACGTTACCTCGGCATCGTTAATTTTAAGAACTCGGGTTAATAAGTTCGTTTCAATGCTGGTTACATTTTCGCCTAGATGTTTAACGGCAGCTTGCAAAGTCGTAGGAGCCGCATCGATGAAATAGAGATGCAGACTAGCCCCTTGTTTGTCCAAAATTTTCGCAATTTCGACCATGAGCGCACCTCCCCATGAAACTCCGATGATGTTGTAGGCGCCTTTAGGCCACACTTTTTTAATTTGCTGAAAACAAAAATGTAAAACTTTGAATTGTAAAAAATTAGTTAGTACTTCAACTAAATCAAGAGCCAGTTCTTTGATGGGCATAGGAGTCGCAGGTAAAACTGCACAAAACGTAGGATACAGCAACTGGAAGGCCATTTCATTCATTTCCTTAAAACCAGAAAGTCCAGGAATTATGAAAACAGGTGCAAGTTCTCTGATTTCCCGAGGTCCAAGAGTACGCATTTGAATCAGTTGTGGTTTAGCTGGGGCTGATTTTGTTTCTTCAATAAAATCTTCCAAAGAGTTGGGCAAAATGAGAGTCAACTCTACAAAACAACAAAATAATATTTCCCGACTCACTAATCGAAATAATTACTTTTGAAAAGTGATTGTGTCGTTTCTTGATGAGAGTCACTAACTTTATCATTCTTGATAAGAATATCTCTCACGTTGTAGGTCAAAATTTCGTCCAAACCAAACATAACTTCACCAAATTCCAAATCCTTGTGCCACTGAATGTTATACGAAGGGAAGTTGGCTTCAGACCGGAATTGGCAAATGCCAGCAGCGTGGTTAACAAAATTGATAAGAATCGCTTTAGGTGCAATAGTTCGCAAAGCGTTATCAATATATTGGATCGGTTTAATTTTGCTGATTCTAGAGTCGTTTGATTTGACAGGAAGTAAGAAAACACAGTGGACGGGGCCTAAGTGGTAAACTTCTGTCAACAATTCGGTAGCACCTTCCTTGGTGTGGGCTTTAGGAGGAGCATAGATAATATCAGCAGAGTAACATGATTGAAGCAGAGAAAGGCGTCGATTGACATAAATTTGTTGGGGTTTAGAATCAGAAGAAACGACGATTTTGCGTGCTCCTCGGAAGACGAGCCATTCAACAGCATCACTCCATTGTTCAGCAGATCCACCATAAACCAAATAAGAACTCTTCGAGTCGCAAATAAATTGAGAAGGATTATTTAAAATGAATTTGTTTAAAAATAAATTGTTGTTGATTTTGATCAGGATTTTGCCAACATGTCCGGACTGACTTAGCGAACTGAAATCATTATTATGTATTATGAAACTAGACATAAAAACAATTTGTTTACTTTAAAATCTCGACAATGTTGTAATGCTCGACAACTTTTCGATTAATTGGTCTCACAATTTTATCCTCAATACCCTTCTGTACCATATTCCTAATGTCTTGTTTTACTTCAGTCGACTCCAAGAAAATGTTTTCCAGTTTAACCACAAAGAATGACGTATTTTTCAAAAATACGCTCATTCCAATGCTATTATTTTCTTCGCAGTCATGCTGACCAATCTGAATTAGTCTACCATACTCTGCGAGACACCCAACTGAAGACTGAAGAAGATGGCCAGAAAGACAATTTATAATTACATGAGCACCAACACCGCCAGTTGCCATAAGTAGCAAAGGCTCAAAGCTTGAATCTTCTGAACTCAAAATATTTTCATCTTTTAACTACAAAAAATACGATTAATATAATTATTTGGTTTTAGATTTAACAAATTACGCAGTCAAATTGTTTCTTGAGGAAACTCCTCTGCCATTCTGTTGCTACAGTTGTGTAAATTTTGCAGTCGTAGCTGGCAGCAATCGAAATTGCAGCTAACCCAATAGCTGTACAACCAGCATGAATAAGAACAGTTTCACCAGATTTTAACCAAGCTTTTTCAAAGAGGCAATAATATGCCTAAAAACAGTGTCAAAATGTGGAAAACTTTAACACAAATGAGACTTACGCTGACATAGGCATGTGGAATTGTAGCAGCTTCTTCCAGACTCCATTTATCAGGAACATCCCATGATAGGATTGAGTCAGGGACCAGTTGGCACAAATCTTTATCGAGTTGGGCAAGACCCATCACTTTTTGACCACCGGTTGTAACTCCAGAATAGTCAATATTTCCCAACTCTTTCTTTTTCTCATTCACTGGCAAAACTGTCTCGTCTTTCAAGTTAATACCGACATAATTGATGATTTTATTTTTTATAGCATTACTAGTGATACCAAGATTGTTTTGAATGTTGGTTTTGAGTTTTACTGGTACTGGCAAGACTGAACCTAAAGTTCCGTCTTTAATAACAGATAAAACCAAATCAAGTTTAAAGATTTCTTGCAACTGGGGATCTTTAACGTTAACGTTTCCAATTCGTCTATCTAGGACAAAAAGAACACGAACTCCGGACATTTTCGGCGTTGAGAGTAACTCTTCAACAAAATTGTGCATCCCCTCAGTTGGAAGTAAAGACGAGACTAGATAAACACTCGCTTTTTTGGCTTTGGCCGCTTCTACTGTTGAATCCAATTCATTGACCCAAGAAGCTGAAGTTCTTGATAAGTCTTTAATGCTTAAAGTATCTCCTTTAACTGTGACTATTAACGGTTGGATGGTTTTAACACGGCGCAAAATAGAGTATTCAACTCCGTTAACACTAAATTGTGCCACTTGTGCTATTTGAGGGTAAGCTAAAATTTGTTTGCTTGAACGTAGTAGAAGGAAACCGTGAGATGCTGCTGTTATTTTAGCAACTTCGTCGTTAATTGTGTCATTTAAAACAATAAAGAAGGGATAAGAGACTTGCAAATCAATGGTTTGGGGGTCTTTGACTGATGTTACAGTGCTCTAAAATTAAAGTGTTACCATTTTGGAGGAAAATTTAAAGTGACTTACATTCAGTTTTGAATACATGTTGCAAACATTTTGGATATTCTCCAAAAGAGGCGGATTGTTACTTTCGATTTCGTTGATACTGATTGTAGTGACAAATTGTTCTGAGAAGTTTTCCAAAGTGAGTTGAAGAGCTAAATTGATGCCGTTTTCAATGCTCTAGAATTTTTTTTTAGAAAATTGGTAATCAAAAAGTGGATGACATACCGGCAAGTTGGTCATATTAAACGGAGTAAACTCAATTGAATCAAATGAAATTGGTTTCGGGTCCTTGGGGAACGGAACAGCTTTGAGACCAACAACTTGAATACCATCACAAGTGATCAAACCGGTCGCAAAATCATAATGCACTTCTAAATCGGTTTTATCATTAGGCAAAAGCTCTTTGTTGATCACAATCTTGTGAATATTCTTCGGAACATATATTTGTTGAGAGCGTTCTCCATCTTGGAACAAATGTTGTTGAATCATAGCTTCAACAAACATGTTCCATTTGTTGTTCCATTGAGCGACGGCGACTGATCCATTTTCGGAAACAACTAAACTCTTAATTGATTTGTACTGTCCGGTGTATTTGTGACCCCTGTGTTGGAACTCGTTGTAAACGTCAGCTCCGGATAATCGGACGTTGTCGTCAGAAACTTCGACTTTGATTGGATCAATCATGAATTTATCGGCGGGGTTAGGGAATGTCAAAGTTCCGGTTACAAGAATATCGTTCCCGGCGATTATCTCAAAATCACCACTTCCCTTCTGAATCATAGCGTGAAGTGCAACTGAACCGATTCTAGGAACTGTTAACATTTTCTTAAAGTGGAGATTCTCGAAAATAAATTCTTTGTGTCCGGTGCTTATGTTTGCAACAATGTCGAAGATGGTGCTCTAAATTTAAAAAATAGAGATTGACAAAAACAAATTTGCAAAATTTACCAAATATGATGTACAAGGCAATATAATTTTTTCGTCAAGTTGGTGCCCTACACACTCTCGAAATTCTTCACTGTTTAGTGTGACTTGGAAGTCTCGGACGCCAAAAAGTGATTTCAACTTTTCCTCAAGACCGGTTCTCCAGACTTCGCTGTGTTCCCAATGAGACAAATTAGCCAAACATGGAGTTCCTCGACTTACTGGATATTCGACCGGAGGGAACAATTTTGATATATCCATATCTAAACCGGCCAAAAATAATTTGCCAAAAGCCGAGAGTAAAAATTCAACTCCACTTTTTGACCCTCTTTGAGTCAGAGGAACGTTAGTACAACCAGACTTGACCGAGCGTTTCAAAATGGCCTGAAGGAGACCATGGGGCGCAATTTCAATCAGAACTGAGTCTTTGGGGATGTGTTTTAACCCTTCTTCGAACAAGACGGAGCTGAGAAGATTGTTGGTGTGATACTCGGCTGAGGAATGTTTGGCAAGTTCTGTATCCCACTTTTCTTCCGAGTTAGACGTACTGACCCATTTTGAGGATCGAGCAATAGGTTCTGGAAGTACTTCTTTGAGGTATTTGAGAAGACCTGGAGCTGCTGGTTTTATGTATCTGCTGTGGTAAGCGATATTTGAGACATTGACAAGACGGGCAAAAATCCCCTGATCTTGTAACTCTTTGACAAATTTTTCCATATCTTCAGTTGGACCAGAGATTGTTGAACTGTCAGGGCCATTGTGACACGCTACTTCGATTGAAGGGGGACATTTATCTTTAATTTGCTGATACCCCATTCCTATCGCAGCCATCATTCCTTTAATAAGAGTTGATTCAAGTGAAGCTCTTCCTCGAGAATAAGCAGACAAAATCATTTGTTCGGCTGTCATACAATTATCGGCATATGCACATCCCAATTCGCCCACAGAATGCCCAATTATACCATCGGGAACAATACCAACAGCACGCAAAACATCAGTTAAGGCAATCTGAATTGCAGCAATTCCCACAAACGAGTGTAAAATGTTATCAAACATGGTTTTATCTTTACTCGTGATGATTTCAAGCAAGTTGATGCCTTTCTCGAGTAAGACTTTGTGACATTTGTTGATTGCGTTAGCAAAAACTGGTAATTTCATCAAATCACTGGCCATGCCGCTCCACTGGCTGCCCATTCCAGAGTAGACAAACCAAATTTGACGTTTGTTACCCAAATGGTACTAATTGGGAAAAATATTAGTTACGAATTTAAAAAAAGTTGCAATACTAACTTCAGTTTCTTCTTTTGGAGACTCGGCTCCCAAAATCGTATATCCGCGATACAAGTGACCCAAAATCGGTTTAGAGTACAAGTCTTGAATCAACTTGATATATTCAGGATCAATTGTGGCTCTAGACTTGATCTGAAGAAACGATAAAAAATATAAATGTGATTAAATTTGAATAGTTTATACAGTTTGCAAAATTTCTTTAATCCCAGCTTCAGTTCGAGTGGAAGCAAGAATAAGTCTTGGAATGTCATCCTGAACTTGGGCATTGACCTTCCTTTTCGGATTAGCTTTCAAAAGAATATGTCCGTAGTACGAGTCCAACCCAATAGCGTTAACTGCGGCATATTTAACTCCCCATTTACGATTTTGCGTCACTATTTCCATACTTCCATTAACCAAGGGTTTTAATTCTGGATTTGGTGTTTTGTATTGAATTGTAGCCGGGATTGTCTCGGCTTCCATAGCTATACAGACTTTAACAATGCTGAAAAGAGCAGCAGAAGCTTCACTATGACCGGTGTTGGGCTTGACAGTTCCAATAAGAAGAGGGTTTTTGCGATTCTTGCAATAGACTTTCTCCAAAGCATCCAATTCTTTACGATCTGTTTCCTAATTTTTGGATTAAGATTTTGTGCATTTTTTTTGAAACTTACTTTAAGGGCACTTCCGTAGGTTTCAACAAACTCGACGTCTTTAGGGTCAACGTCTATGTCCTTGTAGAAGTCGCTAATAAATTCAGCCATGTTGTTAGAATCGATATCTAGAAGAGTTCCTTCACGATTGCCGTCAAATTGAGTCGCGACATTGACAATGCTTGCGTAAGAACGTTTAGCATCACTAGCACGTTGAATGTACAGAACGACAATACCATCGCTTCTTGCATAACCCTGAGCTGTTTAAAGTTCTTTTAATAAAAAAATTTTGCTTTTAGTTTTTCTCACCATCGACATCATAAGCCCTAGTACTACCATCAGCCGACAACAAACCCATGTCATTGTACAACCACTGAAACTCCGAATTCAAAGCTAAATTAGCTGTTCCGACCAAAACCGCCTCACACTGCCCTGTTTTGATGGCTTCATAAGCCAGTCTTACAACTTCAATACCTCCAATCCAGTTACTGTCATAAGCAACACTTGGTCCTTTAAGATCAAGCCAATATGAAACTCTGTTTGGCATCATAGCCCTGGAATGGCCAGTAACACCAAAACCGCTGACAACCGACTCCAAGAACAAGTTGTCGTTCTCTCCCAGAGATGAAGCCATGAAACAACCAATTCTTTTTCCGCGAACCTCGCTTGGGTTAACACCTATTATTAAATATTTGTAACTCTTGTGTGTCAATTATTAGAATTAAATTACCGGCATCAATAAGCGCTTCGTAGGTTCTTTCAAGTATGAGTCTGTGCATTGGGTCCATGAAAGTACATTGTTGACGATGGATGCCGAAATAAGCATTGTCAAAATATTCAGTTGGGACTACACCGATTTTATTCGAAACGCCTCTTTCGCCAGCCTTCCAACGGCTTTCTAAGAGATTTTCATTGTTGAGGAGATGTTCTTGTAATTTTTCTACGTTCAAGGCTTTGGGGAAATAACCACCAATGCCGGATATAACAACGTCGTCTTTCACAAAATGCATGGTACTACGATAGAGGGTTTAGACGAGCTTATGAACCCAACTGCACACACGACAATAGAAAAAAACTGTAGTGTAATGACTACTTATAGGAACATTTAATATATTAGGCCATTTACGTGATTGGTGACCATTTCACCTTGAACCTCACCTTATTTAAATAAGGGTAGACGATTGAATACAATGGCCAAAATTATTTAACAAACAGGATATCAATGTCGCTAACCAATTGTTAATTTTACTATGACATCGATTAGGAGGAAGTAAGTGTAAAAATATTAGAGAACAATGAAACATGCGTGTGATTAAAGATGCTCCCAAAGTAAATGCATCTAAAACAGTTTTGGTTTTTTCTAAATGTTTGCTTTTCTGGCTATCGATATTGTAAGCCCTTTAGTACCATCAGCCGATAACAAAACATCATTATACGTATGTACAACCACTTAAACTCCGAATTCAGAGCTAAATTTGCTCTTTAAAGAATGTACTTCCATTTTCGTGCTCATACGTATGGAGTAAATAGAATATAATTAATAATTTATACAACTTGTAGTTGACGTATTGAATTTTGTTTGAAAGAGAATTCCATATTTATGAAATCCTCTGTAGCATAATATGATTCGTAAATGTGATTTCCTTCAATAAAATAAATGTTTCCAATCTAAAACACTGTGACTAAAATAATTATTAATTTGTAATTGTCATATTTCTCTAGTACTTTATCTGAACTACATGAATTCTTTTTTAATACAAATTTTACAATTTTAATTTATTACTGAAATTATTCATGAATAGAATACTTTTGTTTTGTTTTCAATTGTTAGTAAAGGTCATCGCTACTAACACATACCTCTTCATATTTCCTGAGTATTCAAAATATTCGATGAAACTGTTTTATTAAACTGTTGTGTTCCGTGGCAAAAATTGAGGTAGGTATCCAAAAGATGAATAAAATCTACCTAGCAAGCTTTTTAACTGAAAGTATAACATAACATGTCGGACTAATTTACTTGTAAATTGCCTTTTTTAGATTTGCATAGGAGAAAACATCTTATTATAGGTCTTTTGTAGTTGAAGCTTTGACTGGAGATCATCACTTAAAAAAATAGTTTATTTTGTTTAGTGTCAGGGTACAAATAAAAATCGAAGTAATGTTCACACTTTATTAACCAAAAACAAACATAAAACATCTTATCTAAATATGTATATACTAAACATCTTGCATATGGAAAGAACAATAGATATGTGCAATGTCTAAACTGTCTTTTATGCCTCGCACATGTCAATATTTTATTGCCTAATTTTAAAACCTACATGAATGATCCGTATAATACATAAAACATTATAATCAATATCAAAATATTTCGAGCTGTTACTCATTTTTAATATCTGATATGAAGATGACGAAGGATTGAGCAATAAAAACCCCTGGATGCGACACAAACGTCGTTTCCGGGCCCAACAATAAATTACAATGCCACCTCGAGAAGGATATGTCCAAGATATGGTAACATTTCTGAACGAGCCGAAATTATGATGAGTAACAGCGTGCCCTCTACTACTAATACAGTTATACAGTCGTGTTGTGTTCCATAAGCAAAAAGCACTAGAAATAGCGATACATATAGGTAGATATTTTATATAAATCTATTTTGCATCTTTTACTATTTGTATACAACATAATCTACAGCAACACTGTAGCTTTATTATTCAACGTATTACTAAAAAATGAGAATAAAGCGAAACGTTACCCTGAAATTTGTTGCCGATAATAATTATCATTACAAAAGTTATATGTTTGCATTGAGTTTCATAAGTATTCTTTTAGAAATACGTTTCGAATTGTCTGTGCTGGCAACCGCTTTAAAAACTATAAAATGGAATAAAATAATTTTGGCATCTTATTAACACTAATTATATAATCTCACAAAAACAATACTGCTCAAAATTTTTGCTTAAATCGTTTGAAAGACAAAGACAAAATTCTCTTTACAGTAAACTACCTACGTTTTACAATCTCTTAATAATAAAGACCCTGTTTTAATAAAGGCTATACAAATGATATCTCACGTTAGCTGATTGTGATTTTCTTGAAATTCAGGGTGCGTCAGGGGTGGAACCCCGACTCTGTGACCAATGTATTTGTTTGGTTGTGATGTGAATCAGTCACGCTATCATAGAAAAATTCAAAATATGTTTTCCTAATTTTTTTGTTGGTTTTTAACTTTAGAACTACCACATTTGGCACTGAGAGTGCTGTCAGCATTACGCTACAGACAAAGCTAACCGTTGATTGCCTGCACAACACGACAACTATGATATAGCCGACATTAAGGCCCCTGCTAAGTCCTACACCTCTTCTACACACGAGCAGGGATAGCCAACATGTATTAAGTGACCCCCTCGTAATGATTGAGTATTGCAACACTACCTGAAGCATCTCTTGATAAGTGTCACATTCAAAATTATAAAACAGTTATTGAAACTCTAAACTAGGTACGAAGTTCTTCGCTAGTCCCTAAATTTGAAACATGGAGTTCTTAGAAAATATTACATTATTCAAAAATTCCAAAGAAACACAATTTTGTACATGTGTCTTGAATATGAAAAACTCTTGATCCATTTATTTGGCACATGATTACATTACTGTTTTATTGTCGGAATGCTCCAAAACCGCATCGCTACTTCTTCCATGGTAGTTGCAAGCCAAAAAAATCGACAATTAATTGAAGGAAAAGCGGCGAGCGGTCGCATACCGACATCAATAATCTATGTTAAGAACACTCAGTAACACAAAGGGATAACAATAGATTGTCCCCATTATAGTCAAACGTTTAGATCGAATAAAATTACATCAATAATAAACATGAAAAATGTTAGTAAATAATAGACTAGATTATATATCACTACTACTAAATAACAAGCCAGTTCTGGTGGTAAAACTGAATAAAAAATGAAAAAAAACCGTTTCACTGGTAGCCTTTACCTGCCCCTAAAACCCGGCCATAAGTACAGCACGATTCAATAATTTAATATAAGCACTACCTTAATTATTATTATTCGCAACAGTGCATTGTTACATGACGTGATCACAGTGAGCTACCACTAATCACAAATAGACTGTTTGCAATAATAACAGTAAAAATTTCGAGTGATGTGAGCATTGACGGCATGAGCAAAAAGGGAAGAGTTAATTTGGCACAAAAATATCTCCTTTGTTCGAGGAAGAAATTACGTAAACAACGAATACTTAATTAACATGCACAGCCCAATGTTAAAAATGCAAACAATCTCATATTGCACAGCGATCTTTAATACCAACTCGGTTAACTAGATCACAAAAGTGCCCAAATCACTCTTAGACTAATCACTAAAAACCTAGAAAAACAGGAAATGGGGCCCAAACACTCGCCCCGCAGCTAAATACTGATATGTACATCCATAATAAGCCAACGCGATTGATATGATAACGCCAGGCGGGCATTTCGACCATTCCTCGCTCTGCTACTAGGCAAACCAACACGATAAATAAATAAGATTAAAATTGCTATAAATAAATACTATTATATGCAACGTAATTTAAAACGCATTAATATACCTTGAAAGTTATTGTCCCGCCGTATTTACATAACACGAAACAAAATATACAACTAATTTCTATTTCGATTCGAAAATAATAACAATCTCAAAGTTTGAAACAAGCCACTCGGTGCTTTCAAAGTTTGAAAAACTTTCGAAGCACCGTGTGGGAATCGCGAACAATAACTATTTACATTTTGGCACTTTATTCCAGTCACTAGATCTTGTAGGAATGATAAGCTACTTAAACTTTGGTTATCGTTCTTTGGTAAACGAAAGCACGTGGAGGGTAATAACTTGCAAAGTATAATTTGACAAAATTATGTCTTGTGAACAGTTCAACTGCTCCAACAATCCAGTCATTTCGCGTCAAACAACTAAACAAATTCAACTACGAAATCGCTAACAGACAGTAAATAGTCAATTTTCTGATTGTATCTAAATATAATTATATAAATACGTTATATCATTGTAAAAAATTAAAAATAACGAATCTTTGGCTTGTTCCCCATTACCAATCTTTTTTTTTTGTAAAGTTTCCATCATAATTTAATGACAATATTGTCAATAATTGTAGTTTTCACAGATCAGACCTAATTTACACGGTATTATCTGAAATACCATTGAGATTGGGGATCAGTGGGTGGCACCAAGTATTCTTGATGCCAGGGCCAGTTCAGTTAATGGATCGGGGCCTTTACTATGTGGTTCGGAGCAATGTAGTGGTAGCCTGGCATCGGCAAGCCCGCAGTCTCCATTGATATCCTGCCAAACAGAAATTTCATATACAACACAGTTTACCAAATACAGGGAAACTCCAAACGCAGTTCCGAAATTTATTCACGTGAAAAAAAGAAATGAAAGATAACAATAACAATTTTACTTGAACACTTTTACTAAAATTTCGGATCTTCTTTGGTATATCCTGTAGTTTTAAGAAAAGTCACTTGATGAATATCAAGTCACTCTCGGTAGTTCACCCCACATAAAATACTAAAAAGTCTAATCTACTCAAGAATGGCGTTAATCCGGATTAGACAGGAAACAAAAACCTACGGTTAAAAAGGTGTTCAAAGCAAATATTAACAAAGAACATCATTTTGGAGTTATGGCCAAAATGATGTTTTGTTTCTTTAAATTAAGAGTTTAGGCATCGATAGGAAAATGGATGGTCAAGCTTACCAGGAATGTGATTCTTCTTGCCTGGATTGATTGGTAAGGCATCGGTCTGTTAGCAGGCTTAGGAGATGGACACACAAACCAAATTACAACTTTCACACTCTTTTGATATTTAATTTGTTTGGTATAGAATTGGAAAAATCGATGTATGCTTTGTATTTTTAATAAAGAAAATTTTATTAAACACACATAATGTATTGGTCTCTATGTAAATACACTGAAATCTTAAGTTTTAGACACTAACATAAAATTATGGTCTCTAAAGAGAAATTACCTACATGAAAACAAACTTAGATCCTAAACAAACACTTATGTATATGAATTATTATTCATTATTGTATCATAATCTTACGTGTTGTTTTAAACTTAAATATTGAAGCCCTTTAATAAAGGTTGAAAATCTATAGAAAACACACAGATATATTAAAATCTTAGTGCTGCTGATATGTCAACAACAAAGCTGCCTACAAAACAGGCATCGAAATTTTGTACAAAACTATATCTATATATCTCATATACTCATCAAGTACTAATCGCAAAAAAACACATAATAACGAAGTCTAGTTACATCGTATAAATAAATTTAGCACGCGCCAAGCTAATGCTGGAATAAACTTAAACCGTCGATAAAAAAGAAAATTAAAAGTGTGTTACCAATTATCTCTTCACAATATCGAACCGAGTACTTTCGTGCCCCCTTCCCGGGCCATAATAAAGTAACGAAAAAAGTAAACCAACAAAAAATTGTTGTAAGTAAATTTCTAAAAAGTAATGTCTTTGAGAAAGATAGACGCAGGGTCCCATTTAATAAGGATTGAACTTGTTCCTTTCGCTCTTGAGTTTGGAGCCTTCGGAAGGCCCACCACTGCCGCCAGGAGAACGGAGCCGAGGAGTGTAGCTCTTGTGGGTGCGGTGAACGCCGGTGGTCTGGACAGGAGGAGCGCCTGCCTGCCCGCCCAACAATTCGGTTAAACCGCCCAGCGCACTGAGGCTCGTCAATGCGTTGAGGGCACCTGGCTTGGCCAATAGTTGGGCTAGAGGAATGGCACTGGCCAGGGGAGAGGCAGCGGTGGAGGACTGGCTGGACCCGCCAGTACTAGGAGAATTTTGGGCCTCAAGGTTAGCTTTCTGCAGCTCAACACTGGGGAAACACACAGAAACCAGGATTGTAATGATTGCAGTGATTAACGGTCGGGAGGTTGTACATTGCCTCTGCCGCACTCAGTCAAGCTTCAGTCTGACCAACAATGACAAAAAACAAAACACGGTTTCACGCGAACGATTTATTTCAGACTCAAATTACATAAACAACCAAAGCAGGAAACAAAGCGTAGTAATCGCAGAAGAAATTTTTGCTCCCGATCTTAACTTTTGTTCAATTTTCGACGACCAATTTTCAAATTAACTAAAAAATAAAAGTGTTAAATTTTGGTTTAAACTTATTTAACCAGGCAGAAGCTAGGTAAGACTTAGTAATTCAAAGGCAATAACAGATTTGAAGACATGGACTCGGCAGCTGGCTGGAAAAAGGCATTAACTAAGGACTAATTCGTCCTTTCATTCATTGAATTGCTGAAAATTCACAAACAAGAAATTGATTCAAAATTAATTGATTGATTCTGATTGCTTTTTCATTTTATAACCTTAGATCTGATAGTAAATTGAATGAAAGGGCGTAAACAAAATAAAATAAACAGGATGCTGGATCAGTTGATGTGTTATTGAGATTTAAAACAGGACCAAACATAAAGGGGTTATTCTCCCAAAAAACTCTCTTTATGTGATTGAAGACAAAGTTAATAGCTTATTATATTTTCAAAATAGGTGGATTCTAAGAAATCTACCAAAAAAAATGTTTTATAGATATTAGCTATAATAGAAACGTTTCAGCGTTGGTCAAGAATGTTACTAATTTTAATTTTATTAGTAAGGAATAGATTATAAAATATAGAAATTAAATATTTAACCTAAGACATAAAAATACATAAATTTTAAAATATTTCCACTTAGAAATAATTTGGAAACTTATTTCCGGTAAATTTTAGTTTGTATTACAAACAATTGTTTTCAGCTGCTATTTAAAAAATAGCATTGTTGTTACGTTAAAGTCTAACTATTTCGAGCAAAAGGACCAATTCTCATAAAAACAGCTCACTCAGTCTTTTATTTTTATAGCACCGGGTTAAAAATCGTAACAATTCTTGGGTCATTAGTCACAAAATAATACTAAATAAAAAAGTGATCATTTGGGAGGTTCCCCTTATTTCGATTTAATGGGTAAGAGGATAAAGGTAAAAAAAGCCAATGATTTCTAGGATTCCAAGAACACATCAAATGATAAACCGGGATAAATTTGAAATTCTCCGTCCTCGGTTCAAATTCCTTCCTCTTCTTGTCAAAACCCTAAACGACTCACATCCACTCAACCAAATCACCTCATCATCACACATTATTGATAAATTATGGAAAGCAGTTAATAATCGGCAAGGAGACGGGACATCAGGTAAAATGTCTCGATGCTAATCCACCACCGAACCCAAAAACAAAACCGATCTTTTCAAAATTTTATTTCGTGTTTTTGGTTCGGCAAAAAACTTCCGTATGCAATATCCGCGTAACAAAAATCGCACCACTAACCTCATATTGATGAGATACTGCGCTAAAGCCACCGCATCCGGATTGCCAGAGATGGTAATTGTACGGTCGGTAACGCCACTTTCACGGTCATCACAGTTCGATATACGGATCATCGCTCCGGAAATCTGTCGTATTTCGGCGATCTTCGTACCGCCTTTGCCAATGATGCAACCGATTAGCTCATTCGGAACGGTCATCTCGTGTGTTTGTTGATTGGAATTTTGTTGGTTTCGAGAGTTCGACGTTCGAAGCTGAGATCCGGCGAGAGCTGCCAACGCTAAAACAAAAAATAGTTAAACCTGCACCAACGCCGAAAAAACAAAACACACCTGCTGGATTTAATCCACCTGTGTTGGTCGGTGCAAGGCCTCCTAGTCCTAAGGCTGCTAGTCCTGCGAGAGGACTTTTACCAAGTGCACTCATCTGAAACAAACAATCATACGGCCAAATTTAAACACATGAGTTCAGCTGTAAGCTAATCCCAGGCATTTCTGCTTAATTACTACACTACATCAGAGCGATTAATCATTAATATGACCTATGTGTGCATGATATGACTCGTGTGATTCCCCGAATTAGATAAAACCTCGCTTCTTACCGTCAATTGAAATGTAATCTCAAAATCGTAACCCAATTTCTCCAAGTTAATCTCTCCGTATTCCAATAAAACACAGCTACGAGCTTATTTAATACAGATCTGACGTGAACTTGACTGCTTTAACAAGCCACTTGCGACGTTTATCAATAATTCATAGTAGTTTACCTGCAACTCCTCAGAATTGCTCGTTATTTTTAAACGATTCCATTTAATAAGGTTCAATATTAGTAAGAAGCACTGTTGAAACATTGATCGGTTTGCATAATAAGTAAATGAAGTAAAAAATCTCGTCAATAACTGAAAGAACTTGCCGCCCGTCGACAAAAAAAATCAATCGTATGGTGTCCCTCATGAAAAAATCAAGTGACATGCATGTGCAACATTAATTCGAGAAATATAAACGACAAAATTTCAAGTTCAGAAAAAACAATAACGAAGAAGCTTGTACATATTGTTAAAATTGTTAGCAGAAGCAGCTATTTCAAAATACGAAGAACAAACTGAAGAACATAGTTTCATATGCAATGAAAAATCGTCATAAAAGCAGCAAATAGCCTAAAAAAACCCTACACATGCAACATAGTCGTAAGAGAACTATAGTTAATGATTTCACAACGTGTAGTGTAATATTAGGCAGAACATAACAGTGATAATAAAGAAAAGAAAAAATTGCTCGTTTTAATTAAATCGAATTTTTAAAATTTCGATGCGCTGATTTTATTTAATCATGTTTCCAGAGCAGTACAAAGTTAAACATAAAACAGATACATTGTTTAGTGCAAACGTTTTTATTGCAATTCACAAAGCGAAATGTTCTGTTAGCCATAGAAACGTGAATTCTTGTTAGGAAGAGTACAAGTAAATAGACATTCAGTTTTAATAAAATATGTACCCAAATTTTTGATAAGAAAATAATGTTCTTCAAATTACATAACTTATTCCATTATAAATATAAACTAGTATAGGATAAAAAATACTTGGAAAATTTAATTTCCTCTAAATCAAAATGTTAAATGCATAAAAATAAGTAAGTAATAGATATTCACGTTATAAGTCCGGTAAATGAGATTTTACCGTTACGAGTGAGACGTTTCTGAACGAGGCGACGAAGGAGCCGAGTCAAGAATGTCGAAATGAGTATTACCGAAAATTATTTGCAGGTCGTATGTCGTAATGCGTTTTATTTCATAATGCAAGCACTAAATTTGAAAAAAATAGGTTTTTTTTCTCGTTGAAAATACAGGGTATTTCACGAGTGATAATGAGCCTGACCAAATTTGAACTGCAGCCAGCAATACATTTGCATAAGCTTCATGGATTTTGATTATGAATTTTAAAATTAATAAAACATAGTTATCGCGTGACTGACACAAAGAAACCGACAAGAAAGGAAACACAAGTTTTAAGGTTATTTGTCTCTTTACCGTTGGAAAGCACTTTAGTTATTCAAGCCTTTTTGGAGCTTTTCTATTCGGGAAACATTGTCTTTACAAACGCTCAACGGCAGAAACATATTTCCCAAATTCGCCATAAAATGACAATCAGATCGTTCCAATGCATTTTGATTTTTTACTAAATTTAATGTCAGTTCTGACAAATAAAATTATTGGAAGCAAAGCTATCGTGGATTCATAATCGGTTTTTCAAAAAATGCGATATCTAAAATATCCACGTTAACTTTGCAAATGTATTGTGGGTTGTATTTTCAATTCCGTCAGGCTCATTATCACTCGTGAAATACCCTGTATAATAATATACATATCGTGATCTATGAAACCCTAGTCTTTAAGGTTACTGTTTCTATTGTTTGTTTTGTTGAATTTTCCGACACGAAATGGAAACAAACTGTATAATATTCCGGATGATGTTTTGCGTAAATATAATGAAGTTACTGGTTCTCTCTTCCTACAAAAAGATAACATAAAGAACATAAACAATTTTGTGAATGGAAAAGAGAAAACGCAGTCAGTAGAAATAATTTGATAATTGATTCATTTGACCTGACTTGATACCGTAAAGTCTCATTTTCCGGACTCAAATCATTAACTTAAACATGCGTATTACGATGCAGAATGAAGAGATTTTTCCTCGATTAATAAATTACAAAATAAGATATATTACTATGTTAAGATCAAATATATTAAATAAATTAAACAATGCAATGGTAAAAACTATTCGATATGTTCTTATCAAATCACTGATTACGAAGCAATTTAAATGAGAGTAAAAAGAGTAAAACTATAACAAAAAACATCAAAAAAAAATTCATTCCCCCATTTACAATTCTACAAAATGGGATACAAAAAACACCTTATTCTATTTTTTTTTGATATGATTAAAATTATGAACAAATTTATCGTAAAAATAATGTTGAAGTACGTTATCATTCAACATAATTTTTGTAATAAATCTGAAAGTTACAATTTAATGTTAAAGACAATATTATCGCGTTACAAACATAAAACTGAAAGTAAAAATAAAAAACTGAAATATCGTTCAAGTTGTAATCTGTCAAAATCAGATAATTTACAGCCAAATTAATGGCACCCAATTTATATTTATATAAGTGAAGGTACTTCGAGGGCATGCTAGAAAGGTTAAGAAACAACTAAAAACTAAAAAGCGTTAATTATTTCCCAAATATAATTAATATCTGTACATAGGATTGAAAATGCAAGCAGTGATTATATTAAAAAGTTTGGTTTTATTATTAAATCATGCTTATCAGAAGATTATTTTATTATACTAACTATTAATTCAACATTCGAGTTGACATTTGACGAAATCGTGTTCTTGGTTAACAGATTTTGTTATTTACATTATTTCGTCCTAAAAACATTTTCTACCCTATTAAAATAACCAAAACATCCAACTATTTCGCCTAAAGAAAACTTGTGCCGCGTCGGCATTATCAAATCGACCCTAGGTCAGTGAAAAAAATCTACAATCACAACCCTACAAAGCTTGTGCGGTGTCAACGACAAAGAGTGAAAAACAAGACAAAAGTAACACAACAAAACAAAGCGTTCATCACAGTCCAAACGAAAGAAAAAAAAACAACGATTTGCGGGAACACTTGTAAAATAAATAATAGAGAGGGGGAGCACCAATACGATCAACTTACATCTGGCAAAAGATGCGCGGGCGGTAGGGCTGCCTGTAAGTGTCCGTTCTTGAGCGGCTCGAGCGGCATGAGCGGAGCCGCTGGCGCCACGGCAGCCAGCGGGTGGCCGAGGGGCAAGGGGGGAAGTAAAGGAGTCATTACTGAACTACTTACATCTGTATGGGCAGGAACGGCGTAGTTGCCTTGGATGGTATAGGCTTGTCCGCCGGCCAGGATCACGGGGCCACCCACTTGGGGTTTGGGGCGGTAGGGGATGGTTGCTCCTTTAGGAGGGGACTGCGAACAATAATACACAAAATTGTTCAACGTGAAAACAAAACGTAATATTTATGTGGGAGGAACAATAGAATCAGCTCTCATAATCTTGCGCTCACAGGGCCACCATCTGTGCGAACTTTAGACCCAAAAAGACTTTGGGCTCAGCATCTGCTGATGACCACACAGACCAATCCCTTGCGATTGCGTTTCTCATCATTTGATAGCCAAAAACGAAAAAACTGTCAAATCTTTTTTGAATAAAAATTTTACTTTTTCAAACAAGAAGGCTAGAAACGTGGCCTTTGTGACCAATTACCTCGAGCATAACGGTACAGATGTGATAAATGCACTGCGTGATTGCTTCTCCGGTTCCGGAAATGGTGACCGCCCTCTCCGTTGAGTTGGGCAGCATTTCAGAGGCGACTTGAATCGACGCCCCCGTAACTTCCCTAATTTCTTTGATTTTAGACCCTCCTTTACCGATGAGAGATCCACATTGGCTTGCAGGTACGATAAGTCGCAACGTAATAGGAGGCCTTGGTACACCGCTACCTCCACTATTTATGTCCTGGAACTGGGAACACCACTGAGGGATCCCATCACAACACAACACCACATTAACAAATGCACAAATACACACTATACAAATTACTACTATGCCAACTACTACCTATCGGCTATAACTAAACATAAATTCCGATATAATAGTAAAATCGGTTCCCTCAGATCTCATAATCTCCGCACAGAGGACCACCGACTTTGTTGATTCAAACGCGACCGGAGCGACCACGCCGGAAATCACCGGAATCAACAAAATCACTCCTAGCGTTATGCTTTCTCGTCATTGGGAGACTGAATCGAGCAAATCCGGTATTACCAATTCATGCTCTTGATGTTATAGTCAACAATTAATACATTTCGGATTTAGAATCCTCTTCAAAAGGGATCGTTTAAACAATGCGGGAATGTTCCAAAGTGATTATAATCATTCATTAGGATAGAAAATTCGGCAAACTTACCTCCTCGAATTTTTTACAAATTAATGTGAAAGCTTTAAAAATTGCATTGGTTGATCCCGTTACTGTTACAATGCGTTCAGGACAAGACCCGTCAGATATGTTTATTTTGGCACCAGACTGTGAACAAAATACAATAAAACCACCAATTTATCAAAATTCTTCCACTTACCTCTTCCCTAAATCTTTTGACTATTTCTCCTTTTTTGCCTATGATACTGCCCACTTCCTACAATTAGAAATAAATAACTCAGTTAATTATAATTTTACATATTTTTGTCTCATCACTAATTATCCGTCAAAACATCAAAACAATCTTAGCTTAACACAAGTCGTGAATATTTCAACTGGCAGTTAACATTTGTCATTTTTATTTAGTGTGGCGTTATCCCATTTCACTTATTTTAAAAGTTAAACCTCATAAACAACACAAATTTTCTATTATTTTATTATTGGCTTATACGTACATTCCAAGCTAGGAATGTCGCCAAGATTCATTTATTTTATTTCAAAAATACTTTTGGAATTTTTACTCTGTTCGCAGTTTTGGGATGTCACACTAAAAAAAAACATTCTCTCCAGCGCTCGGACAGAGACTTTAAAATAAAAATAGAACAAGACGGAAGCTATTATTTGAATGTTTTGTCATGAAATACAAAAGTTGCTTCTTATCTAATTAAAATATTCGAAACATAAACATGGAAATGTATTTATTAAATGTGGTTAGATTAATCTCTAAAAGCTTTTTACGTAATTAAAAACATATTTTCCCACTAATTTAATATTAACCACTTCTTCTGAAAGAGCTCACTTTCTTTCAATAATAATTAATTTTAAACAAGTTCTGCACAAAAATAATTGTCTTTTTATAGAAAAATCAGCAATTTTTGTGTTACATTAAAAGTGTGGAAAAATAGATAACGTTTAATTGTTTGTGTCTGAAATATTTTCTAAGTTATTTAATTATCTTTAATTTATTTAATTAAGAAAATCCTCGACCCAAATACAAGTAAATTTCTATAAACGTTTTTATTTTTAAAACCAATGAACTAAATATTTACGGTTCATTCTTTACTATTTTGTAGTACAAAAAAAATTCAATGTATTCATAACTTCAAAATTAAGGTTTAGTATATTAATACAAAATCAAGTTATTCATATTTTTACGTTCTTGTTCTACAATAAAAAACAAATGCGGCATTTATCGCCTTTCATATAATATGCGTGATTAACTGATTACTGAATAAAGGAAGTTGTGATTTACAATGAAGCATCGCCATTCGTAATCATCAACTGCAGAAACATCTGTTTTTAACAATAAACAGACCCTATAACGGCTGTCACACATTCTCTGTAATTAAAACCGAAGAGAACCAACTTAGCTGTAATTCTGATTTACCAGTGTGCTAAATATTTGTTTTGTTATTTTTCTGTTGGCTTAGACAAGTTCATTGGTTTGTTGTAAATATTACTCAAACACTAGTATTAAATCCTGTATCTTAGGAGCGCATCACGAATATCTTGGCAATGATTCTAGTGATTGACCCAGACTGTGTTGTTTTGAGCTCTGTATCAATCTATAATTAAACTATAAATGGCTTGGCACTTAAGACAATAGCATACGATCACACATAGGTTTGGTATGAATTATTAAATAAGTGCTTTATACATAATGCATTTAAATTAATCTAAATAATGTTGACACGGGAGAATTTGGAGTATCATCAAAGCAATGAATAAATATCAATTAATTCGGTTTATGAGTCGGTACATTCTTTGATAACTGTGCAATGTTTATATTTGAATGTATGTGTGTAATATTGAACACATCAGAAAGAGTATTGATTTTCAGATAATCTTTGAGTGCTCTATTTTACCTACATCTAACAAAATATGAAAACTAATTTTACGTTGGCAAGTACATGTCAGGCTTCTAAGTAAAAACCCAATCCAATTACAAGGTACATAAAGGTTTCAATTAACTTTAATACCCATATTTCTGAATTATTTCGAAACACTTTTTTCATTTACTTGGGGATTATTACCAACACAAGTGTGACTTCTAAAGTAAAAATAAAATTCTTCCAAAGCATAAAGCCGTTATGCATTAAGTCAATAATCCTTTATTATAGCCTTTACATAACACGAAACGTGATTTATTATTGCACGTACTTGAAAAACAATAAACTACGTTAAATTCCTGAAAATTTAAACACAAATACACATAACAGATCCTACCTTTCCTTGCATAATAAGCCTTATTGTGAGCGTGACATTTGAGTCATCATTTATCATATTTTTATTATCCATATCCATGGTCTTGTGAAACGGGGGTCAGGGCAAAAGGGTAGGTTTTTGGGTTCAATTCTGTAACAAATACACAATAATTAATCCAATGTTAATCTTACCTACAGTCAACAATCAAACTAACACTATTCCAAGACACTAAGCGATAAAAAAGTACGTTCATTGTTGCAATGATAAACAATCAATGACGGAAATGGCCTTACAGAGTTCAAAAAAATGTAAACTTAACGGGATGAGACAACTACAACACAATCATCTACATAACCACTAAGTCATCCGCGTCGTAGTCGATTCTGGCTTATTGTGACAGTTCTACATGGGGACTAAATGTCATTTAGGCAAAGGCATTTTAAAAAGTGCCCTAGATACTAAAAACACTCACTTTGAACCCACAAACAGGTAAAAAATTAAATTATTCGGGAGCTTGGAAACGCCGTCGCTTGCTCTCCACGTGCTTCATTCAGCAATGCTGCCAACTGATATTGTCACGAAAACAAAATTACCCACCGAGAGTGAGATGCGCGCGGATATTTGAAGTTATCGATTCGAACCAAACGCGGTTTGACCTATTAGCAAAACCACATTTGTGCTTGCAGACACAATAGTGTCTAATTTAAGGATAAATAAATGCCGGAATTTCCATGTTTGGCAAATATGAGCACTTTACCTTGGTTTTGTTCTGTTGCCTATAGATATGTAAAACGTATAAACATGTATAAATAATCCTGCGAATTCAGTCACTAAACTAATTTTTATCCTGAGAGTGAAAGAAAAAATGACAACAAATCAAAATAATTTATTGATCTTATATAAAAACACGTATTGCTGGCATTATTGTTTCGGAAAATCGACGCCAAAAATAAATTTCAACTAAAACTTTCAAATTTTAGTTTCAAACGTCAATCATAATGACAATAAAGCGTGGCTTACATTGACATTTCATAAATGTCATAAATTTGATGTTCCAAATTCCGTGTCCGCCAGTGTACCTACATGTAAAAAACTATATGATTTAAATGATAGTTTTGTAAACCAAAATAAACAAAATCTACAGTAGGTATGTCCCCAGATTGAGGAAAAAAAATTTACAAAAATAATTAAGTAAATTAATTAAAGCTACAAACGACAATTTCGAAACATGTTAATTAGGTAGACAATTTTTTTCATACACTAAAAATCCCATAAGCCGCAGTGTTTTTGTCATGACAGCGACAAAACGGAACCTTTTAGACCTTATTACACCTTATTTGTTAATTTAGTGATTTACGTATTCATTAAAATGTCTTACTGAATTACACTCAAGTTGTTTTTTACGAAGAAAACTTGACATTTTTAATTCGAGTTTTGTTTCCTTTAGGCAATTTAACTCAAAAAACTGCCAGAAAAAATTACTCGTCCTACGGAATTGTAATTTTTTCAGAAGCAGTTTTTTTCGTTAAATTGCCAGAAAACAAATTTCTCATTAAAATGTCAAGCTTACTTCAAAAAAAAAGCTCTCGTGTAATTATATAATAAAATAATTATTTTTCTAATACTCTATAAGTGCTAGACCAAATATGAATAACCCAATAACAAAAAAAAATAGAAATTGGTAGGTATTAATATTAATTTAAAAATTATAAAATGAAAAATATATGTGTACTTTTAGAGCCTCGTGCTTAAACATAAATGAATACAAAGTCAACATTCTTATGATTATTATTTAAATTAACTCTTGCCTTTAGGTACTTATTTTGCTCAGTTTATTTTCTTTAAAAACAAAACTGTCGGGAGATATTCATTTATCTTCCTGTATCACACTATAAGATTTTTCTTAATAAAAAAAAAATAAGATCCATAAAAATTTTTAGTTGTTAGAAAAACTAGATCATTGATCTGGCAACTCAAATATACTATACACGTAATAATTATTAATTAATTTTTAATTAATAAAAACACACCATTAAAAACTGTTGATGTTTATAAAATAAACAAAAATTTGGTTACCTGTAGAAAATAAATGATAATTTAAATGAAGCAACTATTTTTTGTCAGCAAATGTGTTCCGAAATATCTACTGATGCTAATATTCTAAATATTCATAATTTTTTGCGTCTTTGAAAAGATGCCATCTTGTTTTCATACCTTGCTTAAACAATTTAAAAATAATATGGGTTATAACTTACAATAACAACTCTTTCAAGTAGCAAACTTTTGAACGTTCAAGTCAAATACTCATTTTAAAAAAATGACAAGAAGTTGCAAATTTCACCATGTCGTGAAACATCTTTCATCGTTGTGCCATATTTATTCGATGTTATAAGAGAAGTTGGGATTTTTATCGTTTATGTGACACATTTGATCTCTTTTTTTATTTCGTTTTCATAATGGTTCGATGCTTCTGCAACATTTCCCCTTTCATAACTACTCATGCATGTTTAAGAGTACACAATCTTTAGAGTATTTCTGCAACTTGCATACAGATATAGACAAGATAGTTTTTTTTATAAGAAATAAATGTAGGTACTTGAAACAGTGTCTGAGCAAGAAATCAAATATAATTAAAAGAAAGATAAACAGAAAATGACAAAAATAAATTTTCATCAAGTTCGAGAAGTGTTAAACGAGTGACTGAAACCCAGAAATCCATAAGATTCAAAGTATCAATCTTGTTGAGCGTGTAAATTGCTTCATTTATTACTAGAACCCTCTTGATGAGAATGAAATGGTGTGATCTTAGAAAATCCGAGTCCTTTTAGGTAATGCTCGAGCGACGCTTCGAATATCTATTTGCTCCATCTACGCTCATTTACCACACATATCATTTAATTTTAACACCCAAATTCATTGTTTGTCAAAACGACGTTATAAATGCCGTTTATATAAAAAGACAAGAACCTAAATCATCATAAACTATAAACATTTTGATCGATCGGCCGCCGTAAAAATCACAAGCCGCGTATAAAACTTTATGCCTAAAATAAAAAAGCTTCCAAAACAACGAGATAAAAACCGACATCATCGTTGTTTAGTTACATATTCTATAAACAATATGATAATGATAAATAATAGCGGAATCTATGGATAATCAGGTACTTATATATTTAGCGGACCTCGTGACATGAAATTTTCTTTTTGCGTCTTTGAATTTCCTATACTTACTTTAACTTTATGTTTCTCGATAATTAAGTGGAATTTTCTACTCGACTGGCACTAAGTAATAGAATGCCAACTTTTAAAGGCTTACAATTTCTTTTACAATGATTTTCAAGAGAAAACTTGACGTTAACTCCTGAAACCGAAACTCCGTGATAAAATATTCACAATTTGATATTCATAGGGGAATTTCGAACTCGAAAATATCAAGAGGTAATAAAATATTTTACTCTTTAAGTGAGCCATTATTGGCTTCTGGAAACTTATACACTGTCTTGCACGCAGAAAAGTAAATCTTACAACACTAATTTTTAATAAATTCTGACCAAAAAATATTTTTTATTTGCAATTTCAGCCCCGACTTTTCTTCAGAAATTGAAATAAAATATTGCACTCAACGACTCAACCCTTATGTTAATCCTTATAATCTCGACAATACATACACATTATACTTGTTCATTAAAGAACTATTATTGAAACAAATAATAATTAAACAATATCGTTTCCGAAATTATGAAACAGATAAAAGTAAATACGAATACATCATTCATTTCTGAATATTTTCATCAAAGAGTTTCTGAAAGAATTAGGATATATCTATATATTAGATTATTGGTTATTTGATATTTGGCTTTTGATGTTTTATATTCAATTTTCGATTCGTTCATAGATATAATACCTGAAAAAAACACACTTCCTAAATTAATATTTACATTATTATTGACATTTGATAAAAAAATATTTCTTTATTATGTGTTGATGCTGATGACAAATCGAAATATGAATTAATCAAGGAACTGTCTTCACGCTGTAAAATTATACCTACCGCATTTATAATGTAAATAACAATTTTTCTGTAAATATGTACAAGTACAACTTTGTCCGAAATTTGGAACTTTGTCATGCTATTATTCAAGCACGTTTTGTGCAATAGAATAAAAAACATTCGGATTTATAGCGGAAATAGGGAGTTGAATGGACTCGAAGCCGTAGTAACGTTCAAATTGATAAAAAGAGTTTTGATTCGTTGTGTCACAAAAAGGATAAATTGTGCTTCTCGTTGAAGTTTTGAGCAAAATAATAATTTGTGAGTTTGAACGGTAAGGCGGTGGTTATGACTACATAATCTACATATTGAAGCGAGCGTGCCGGTTTAGTGATACTACGAATATCTCACAGATTTCTATTGGGGATTTGTAGGGTTTCCGAGCAATTTTCGCAGCTTACGAAGATCAGAGTTTCACTTTGCCCTTGTGTACCCAATATTCTCAGTTTTTCAAGTTTCCTTGTTATCTTGAGTATTTAAAACGAAAATAAAAATTTCTCTTGAGCACCTTTTCCAAAGTCATAATTCAGTCGAGTTTGATAATTGTTATTAAATTCGGTTTAACTAATGTTCGTGAGTAAATTACGAAAAATGTTGATGAAAAACCGAGATGATAAATGGAGCTCGAAGAAATCCCTTGCAGAATCATACATTTTAATGGAAACAGGGATTTTTAATCCACAGTTTACGTTTATCGCTCGAATCTCATAAATTAACTTCCTTAATGTGGACTTTAAAAACCTTCCGTGAAATTATGACACACATTTTACGTCGAGGAAACTCCGGCTTCCCCCAAATTAAATTAGCTGCAGGTATTACTCTGTCATAATATTTTTACTGCCTTGGAGGCTGATGTACAATAGTTTCAAATGAGGTATTTAACGTTTTAGACACAAATTTATGGGCTTGATTAAATTTTTTATCTTACAATTGGCCATCTTCTGTAAAACTCCACCAACAAACTTTAAATTAAAAGACCGACAGCGTGAAAAACGACAGCATTTCTTAATTCTATTTTTTATAAAACTTTGTCTTAAACGCGCTGAATAAAATCGATGCAACCTTAGGAAAAAGACACGTACGACCCAAAAAAGAGAGATTCCTTCATGTAGCACCTGTTGCTTAATGATAACCTTTATATTATGTTTCGGAGTGGCGTTATGGGCTTCCAAAGTATCATAATGTTCATGGGCGCAATTTTATTTCACGAATAACTACTTTTGGGAGAGGAAATGGCACATTAACGCCACACATTGCAAAAAATGTATTATTGAAATTTATTTTATTATTTATTTTAAAACTGCAATTGATTTTAACAAATAGTTTTTTTTATAAGAAACGCAAAAATAATCGGTTTTTATTTAAAAATTTAATAGGATACCATTATTCGCATCAAATAATATTTCTATTTCCTCGCATATTAGCTAATGTTTTTCAATTTTGTTTTTTAAGAGGATGAAACCATAAATCAATGTCTGACTGCGATGAAAAACTGCAGCTTTTCGGACGCTCCCTTTTACATACATAAAATTCTCTGAGCTGAGAATCTCAAACAACATAGAAACAATTAAGATTCCGATAATCTCAGTCCTTTACAAACTTTAAATAACTTTATTGTATTAAAAGTAGTTGCAAGGAACCTCTGTAGACAATGTTAATTAACAAATGATAAAAACTGATTTCTTTGATTTGTATTTAACTAAAAATTTTATTATAACGTTGATATTTATTCAGTAAATATCAAAAATAGAACATCATTAAAAAATGTCAAAGTAGAAAGTACGTCTCAAAGAAAACGTAAAAGCAAAGAAAAAACAGTTCATAAATTGCTGAACTTTGAAACTGACAGATAATTCCCAATAAAGAAAGCTCCGGAATTAATGAGAATGTTTAAGAGAGATTCCGTCTAAATATTCATTATAGCATTCTGAATCTTTTTAAGTCTTGAAATATTCATTAATACACACAATTCGGGTTAGACGTCATTAAATTAATTACTAAACTTATTAATTTCCAAAAGTCAGCCTTTGCCTTTCATTGAGATCCGGAAACCTGTATCTGAAAAGTAGATTTGTATAAAACAGCAAGCTTTATAAATTAATTTTTTTCAATAAACTATTGTAAAAATAAATTGGATTTCTCTCTCCATCATATAAATAGGTCAGTGTATAACACGGAAATCAAATTAGTAAAACAAAAACCTATAGCTTATTTCAGCTTGTTCCAGACAGAGTTATTTACTGCTTCCACGTTTGCAACATGCTGAAAGAATACACTTTAATGGCAAAAACTTTGAAGTAATAGCTGAACTTTACGGTCATTTTTAAAGAGCTGGGAGGGCCACAAGAGATCAGTTTCGCCACATAGTAACTTAAGGGACGAATTTTGTTCTTTGTTTCAAATAGGTATCGGAGAAACTGTACAAAAGTCTTATAATCAATCTGATTCAATCTGAAAATCAGTTCCCGGACAAAATTAATTCTTACAATTTCAGATGACTGCAGCAGAGCACATACCTCATACTACTGAAAGTCTTTTCTATTTCCTCATGAGTGATAAACTCATTAAACACTCTTGCCTGTTTGAACCATTTATTAAGTTGAGGTACAGCGATGGTTTTATTCATGCCAGAAAAAAGAATAAATTGTTTGCGTAGCCCTTTTTCTACTTCGTTATTCATTACTGAGAATTTTGTCAAAAAATTGTTACGTCAAATTTGACTAAAACACTAAAACAAATCATTTGCTTTTGAATCTTGTGATTCTTTAATTAATGTTTGAAATTACTGTAATCTTCTTGTTGGGGTTGGGTACACCACATGTTAGCAATTTTCGCTCCAGTTCAACAATATAGATTTTATTCTTCTTGGAAAAATCAATTAGAAAATTTTCAAAATCCCCGTACTCAATCCGAGAACGACTAAAATATCCAGTGGAAAAATCAATGTAAAAATATCACTGACATTTACTTGAATTTATTGAAAATAGTTTCAGTGTCAGCAGTGGTAATTTTTTTATCGAATACTTCTGCCTGCTTAAACCATTTATTAATTTGATGGAGAGATATAGTCTTGTGTAAGCGTGAAAATAGCAAGAATTGATGTCTCAGGTTTCGGCGAAATTCGGTCATTCAGCTAAAAATTATTACAAGAATTTTGATTTTTTTTCATTTTAATTCAACTTAGCAACAGTAAAAAGCTTCTTGATTATTACAACGATTCATCGGTAATTTAAGAAAAGTGTCAAGATTTTTCTTATTAATCCTATTGTGTTATTTCAATAACAAAAGAAAGACAAAATGAGAAAAGGCACGCAATTCCTGGATTAGGAGAAAGGAAAAACAAATTTACTCTGTTATTTCCGGGAATGTTCTCATGTATAACAATGGCATTCGCTTTGTAATATACATTCCTAATTGTTTACCATTAATAGACAATTTTGGTTTCTTGATATCCACCATTAAAAGCCTACATAAACACTAAAGTCCAAGGATCCGGAAGTCGCCCACAGCTTAGTTTAGTTTACCACAGACAGGCCGAAAGGTTTGCTTTTAATAAAGTGTCTGCAAACAAACCCATACGAAACTTTGCTTTTAGCACGAAAGGTAGGCACAGTAAAATTATAGCAATTGTTCATGACAGTGATTGTCAAAATCTTGTTACTTTTCATCACCTAAAAATGCCCGGTTGTGGAAAAAATATTCAAAACCAATTTGAAGCTTTGACAAAAGTTGCTAATTCCCAAAAAATCACCCTAGAACAGATCAACAAGTGGCTCACTGATGCAAAACTGATGAATGAAAAAATCAAACCGGAAGACACCAAAGTGTGTTTCGATAAGTTTAAGTATATTTATAAACTTTATATAGGAATAAGCTGTAGGCGGAAATTGCAGATCTGAGACTATCGATTTTACAACTTTTCATAAATTTCTACATGAATTATCGGAACGCAAAGGAATTGCTATTGGTGAATTAGAGGAGAAACTTGCATCATGTATGTGAGCTCTTTGCAGTTTTGAAACTGTATGTAGTTATAATTTAATTGTGTACTTTTTAATAAAGATGTATGCTTTTAACAGGTATGCAGGTTGATAACAAAATAACGCATGCAATGAAAATGAAGTAATAGTGTTTGTAAGCGAACAAAGAAATTAATATTTAACTAAAATAAACTAATCACCACTTGATTATAAGACTTGTTTGTGTAACATTGTTTCGAATTTTCTGCTAGTATTTAATTTGTTGGCAGCGACTGAAGTATCAGACTTCAATTAAATAGAACGTTTTACTGAGAAACATCAGTGCTAGTAGAAATATTTATTATAAACTACTTCGTTACAATGCATAATGCTTACTATGTTTAGAAACTAAGAAAATCATCAGAAATAATTCCATACCCAACAATAAACAAACTGAATAATTACTTCTAGATTTTTGGAAAAATGTTGTTTGTCAACTCACTACTTTGCAAAATATATATTTATTTAATTTATTTGAATAAAATGTTCATTAAAATTAAATTGTGCAACATGACACTTCATTTACATCAGTGACAAGAAAAGTAATTTTGCTCAACGGTTTATTATTCATCTTGAGAAAACAACTCACAGCCAAGCAATCAAAAAAGTGTGTAAATTTCTGCACTTTAAACTAAAAAATAAGATGTGAAAAATCTCTTTGATCCTAGTTTTTTGACTTTACTGTCTTTACACAGAAACTTCTTGAAACGAATTACTGATACAAGGCTCATTGATTCGTGGCACCTACATCTCTGTAAAAGCTGTAACATTTTCAGCAAAGTCTTAAACCACAACTAAACTGTAAAGTAAATTAGATTTTATCAAATAAAAATATTGTAGATTATTATTTTAGTTGTAAAAAGACAGGTTAAACGATATTGTTTTCTCTTTGTCGACTACAATCGCGAACAACTATTTATCTTAAGATACATGGAAATTAGTAAGTAGATAAGCAGATTAAACCTAATACCTCATCATTCTGTGTTGAGTTAATTGACCACAAGTCTAGTCCAGAAATACAAATATGGTCTAAATGGAATGTAAGATTCCACAATTGAATCCATGTTAAAATCTGCTAGAAATATAAGCTTGAAGCTCTCTTCGATAAAATATTCTTGAAATGAGGTTTATGGGTAAGAGCGTACGTGAGGTCGCGCCTCCAGTGGTATCATAGAGTACTTGGCAATAATGGACGTCACGCTTCTGAAATATCGCTACTACATTTCTACGACGAGTATAGAAAGCCCGGATCAAATAAACTAATAATTTAATGATTATTTCCTTCTGTGTGGCATATGCGTTGAATTTCCAAGCGGCGCTGTTCTTTTTGATTACACGAATATTAATTTTAGATAGAACCGTCAAAGAATAAATGGAAGGACTCCTTTGAAAAAGAATTTAATAACCTTCCCGGTAAAGCTTTTAACATCCACTAACGAAACAAACTCGAATTTTAACAAATCTTACCCCATGCGTAAATGAAATATGTCAGATATGTTAACTTGTAATTTCAAAATAGTAAAATTTTAAATTTCAATTAAAATACCTCCGTCTACCCCCCTGCAAATAGTTTATTTTTGCTTATTCTTCCGATTTATTTTTCCAACGTATTGCATTTTTCCTTCGTCGGAGATCATAAATAGCATGTAAAATTTGATGTTAAGTTGATGTTTTATTTCATAAACTTAAATTGGGCTATATATCTTGAGAAACAGACACATAACAAAATATAATATTATACAAAATGTAAGAAACTTGGAAACTTTGATCTAGAATAAAGTTACTATTCATTAAAATAATAAATTGTAATGCAAAATCTGATTTTGAAACAAATAAACTGACAAGTAGTAATAGTAATAGCACTAACTCTCGTAGTAGGTATTCGACTGAGAAATTTTTCGGAATCATTCCGACGGAATGTGTTTGCGGCTTAAGAGAACTAATTTTTCAGAATAAAAATAAGAACTGAATGATAATAATAGTTATCATGTTTCAAAAGAATAAACTTAACGATTTTAATCCCAAGAATGTAGGTAATGTCATAAGCGACCAAAAAGAACTGAGGGTAGTTTCATTCGAAGGATTAACGATCTTTATTCTAGAGATGTATACGAAACGTTCCTCGCAATTATTAAGAAAATGATAAATTTGTCAGGTAATTTCAAATATTTTGTCAAAATATTCAAAACATTCAATTGCAATTTTAAGAGTTAAAATCGGTATCAAGGAGTTTGTTTATGGCAATAAAACACTCAAAAGATTCAATTCATTCGATTCCAGTTCATTTTAAGAGTAAAAATCGATATTTCATTAATTTTATTCCTGAGAGAATAAAGTACCAGATTATTAGTCAAAAATGAAGAACTAAAGCTTCACTTTATTCCATGTTGGAAGAAAAAATAATGTAATTTTGCGGAATATTCGTATATTATTAAAAATATTAAATATTAAACGATTCGTTTGTAAAGTGGCGTAAAACCTGTTGGAAAGAAAATTGTGATAGAGCCGTAAAATTAGCCCTTACAAATTAATGTCGCAATTACATAGCGAAAAGAAGCAATAAGCTAGTTATGCATAAAATTACCACTGAGTTCTCAAATAGAATAAGAATGACGACGAGGACGTTTCATTGAAATTAAAACATTATTAGCAAGATTATCAGAAGTAATCAGGAGTTCTCGTCCTTCCGAACTTTGTCATTTTTCTTCGTCGAAATTCTATTAAAAGTGCACAAGTTTAAGAATTGTTAAAAGATTTGATTTGATACAATGAATTTATAAATTAGACACTAGAAGTTTCTTTAAAAACATATTTTATCGGTAAACTCCGTTGAATTTTTGTCAGCAAAGTTTTCCTCCATTGTTCCCACTCGAGATTTTCGTGAAACCTTCCTTGTCCTTGTTATAAACTCGGATACGCTAAGAACCCACAATTTCTTGCTAGTTTATTTCCAATTACTAGACAACTTTTACCGAATTTCCTTTAAAAGATCGAGAAGACTTATCATTTAATTTTTAATTACTCTAACAAAATTCTCAATGCACAATCAAAAGCAATTTCTTTTCTAAAATTTTATTTCGACTCGACTCTCAGGATATATATTTTATATCGCATTTGTGCATCAAAGACGTTGTGTAAAGAGCCTCTCACAAATTTATATTTTCGAATTGAAATATATTTGGCGAAGGCACGAATCGATAAACAAAAATGGTGATGGAAGTTCCGCGAAAAGCGCGTTATGCTTCATCGTACAAATCGCGTAATAAAGTATTTCCGAATTTGAACGATAGTTCGTTTCCATCTTAAACCGACAAATAAGTGGAAACGTTCTGTTGTCGATTTTTCAGAGCTGAATCTTGTGATTCTTGCATTCAGAGCTACAATCATTTTCAGTTGACTGCCAATGTGGTTGTAATTTATTTAATGATTAAAATCAGTCCTTTGAAACATAAGACGAATTTCCATCTACCTAATTTTGACGAGGTGAATAAGATGCGGGTCATTGGGGGTATTTCGTCCCGTTTGAGCTAACTCTGAGGGAAATTGTTTTCATATACGAGTAGCTTTTATAATCCATATTTTGCAATGAATTCAGATGTCTTTTCACTAGCTAAGCTTATTCTAAAGCTCATATCAAGCCTCATTTATCCACCTACACTAACGAATTTTTTTACAACATTCAGGAAATAAAAACCTATATTTAACAACAAAATTTTTTTTTGGGAACTTTCAGTATATTTCATTTATTGCTCTCCGAATTTTTATTCGTTGATTGTGAAAATTTTATAGCGGTGTATATCGATAATGGAGCGTGTATGCCTGTGGGAACATCGTAGGTGTATCACTGCAGTGACAGTGATCTAATTAAGGGATTCCCCTTAGGAAATGTGTCTCGCTGTAACTGCAAGTAAGGCCATGTTATATTGCATAATTGGACTGAAAACAAATAGAATTGTGTAATACTGAAAACTAATACTACACTTTTATGTCAATTTTACAACTTTGAACATTTTGACATTGTCTGCGTAACCCATTCTACTAGAACGAAAGTAGGTATTAGGTATGTGTTTAATGTTCGTTTAAAAAAGTTTTATTTAATCTCCAGTTGGCGAATGTAAAAATTCGCATTGATTGATTAAACAAACTAAAGCGGACAGAGC